GGTGGAGGGGATGGTGGGGGTGGAGATGTTGAAGGGGGTGGGAGAAGAGGAGGAGGAGGAGGAAGAGAAGGAAGAGGAGGAGAAGGTGAAGGAGCTGGAGGAGTCCGGGGTGGTGATGGTGGCTTTGCCTCTTCCTTCTCCTTGGCCAGTATCACCTCTTCCTCAGCCACAGCTTTTTCCTCCTCGTCTTCTTCCTTCTCTCCCTCTTCTTTGCCTTTTCCCTCCTCTTCTTCCTCTTCCTCTTCTCCCTCCTCCTCCTCTTCTCCCTCTTCTTCCAGTTTCTGCTCCTGCTTCTTCCAACAAGAGTCCGCTTCCTGTTCAGCTCCAACTCTTCTTTGGGAGGCATCCTGCCAACTTTCCTCATGTTGACCTTGACCCTGACCTGATTCTAGTTCCAGAGATAATTGTCCCGACTTCATTTTTTTGGCCTTTGAAACAAACTTGATCATGAGGGGAATCCCACCTCGGCCTCTGCCCCTGCCTCCACGGCCTCCTCTCCCAGGCTGTCCTCCACGTCTGGGGGTCCCAGGTCCCGGACCTGGTCCCTCCTTGCACTTCCAGCTGCCAGTTCGGTGTCTCACTGGAACCACAGGAGGTGGAGGCTCGGGGTTAGGGATTGTCACAGCCGCTTCTGCTACGACTACTGCTTGCTGCTTTTTCCGGCAGGGGCCTGAAGGCCGTCCTGGGGGCCGTCCCCGAGACCGTCGGGGAGCAGAGGGTTCACATGTCCGACTCCGGGGGGCTGGGGGTGCCTGGGCCCGCCGGAGCAGTTCAGTCAGTGCCTGCACCATCCGTTCTGTGCCCTCCTCACCCCGTTTCCGAGCAGGGGTCTTTGCGGGGACAGGAGCCACATCTGCTAGTCGAGGAGGAAGGGGGGTTGTCTTATGCTTTCGCCCACGACCTCTGGGGGCTCGACCTAAAAGGAGAATAGGTGTAGGCAGACCTGTCAAGCTGGCCCTGTAGACTGAGCAAAGCACTCCAGAAGGGTGGGATCTTATTTGTCTGTTTTCCTATAGCCCAACCTGGCTTGGATTCTGAACAGAGGTCACACTCAGTAATGGATGGAGACTAGGTGAGCAGGGAAGAGCTGATACAAAGGGCAAGGATAACATTCCTATACAGAGATGGCATTTCCCCACCACTCACCTCGCTGGGATCGGAGTGCAGAGCGCAGGGAACTGGGAGCCACTTCTTCATCTGAATGAAAACCCTGAAACTCCTGATATAGGGGACCAGGGATGAAGGGGAGAAACAGCAGTCAGTGCAATCCACTTGGGATTCAGGTGTTGAGGATACTATCTCCAACTTCCCTCTTAACATACTCCTTATTTACCAAAGAATTTTAAAGACTGAGGTCAGGGGGAATAAATGGTCTCTCTCTCCAGAGATAGAGGCGGCTTTTTTTGAACCTCATCCCTAGTGCCAGGTCATACCAACACAGCCACCACTGGTTTGCTGGTCCAGAAGAAAACATTCTGAGTCTCCTCAAATTAAGCAGTAGGCCCTAATAATGAGGACCAATTCCAACTCAGAAGAAAGTGGGGCCTCCATTTACACCTTTTCAGGCCATAGATATTTCCTGAATGGGAACAAGGAGGGGATGGAAGGGGTGGAGCAGATGGTTTATCATACTGGGATCCACTCTGAACCCTCAGACAACTACTACCTGTCCTAAGCAAGACAATCCACACCCTCCTCCCGTTTCCAAAAGGCTGAGAAATACATCATAAGTTGCAGCACTCAAGACAGCCCAGCCTCAAAACTCGGCCTTCATTCTATTCCTCTCCAGCCCGTACTGCAGGAAATCTCCAGCACTCTACTTCGATCCAAAGAGCAATGGGACCGCAGCTGGAACCAGGGATGTATAGCAGGTTCTGAGGCCCAGGAGGACAGCCTGCAGGGTCAAGCTCAGGAGGCTCTAGTCTTGTCCACTAAAGCCACGCTTGTGCTTGACTGTCAACCACCTCTGGTTGGGCATGCAATTCCCTTGGCCTCTTCATCCACCCCTCTCTTTGCTCTACCTTTGCTACCACGAAAGATCAGCTCAGGACACCAGCACGACTAGCCTCGAGTCCAAACGTCTAGCTGCAGCCAGGGTTTCTTTCCCCACTTCCAGAGGCCCTATCCACCCAAAGCTCCACGCAGCCTATCTCCTTCCATGCTTGCTTCCAGGAGCTCCCTCCTTCCGCAGGAGCCCTGAGAATCCCACTTGTCCACACCACCCTTCCGGGCCATCCCGAGCCCTGCAAGCCCCTAGCCTCCGCCCCACCCGGCGCAGAAGACGCTTCGGTTCGCCTCACCTCCTCGTCGGAGTCCCCGTCACTGCTCTCTTCCTCCTGCACGCAGCCTCGGCTCAGGCCCCAGCCCCGGCCCCGGCCCCGGCCCCGGCCTCGCTGAACGCGCGGGCCAGCCCACAGGCGGCGGAGCCGGCGCAGGCCCCGGCGGAGTCCCAGCAA